GAAATACAGTTTGTTCAAATCCTTACACTCTATGGTATGACCAGACTTGTTGAAAGGGTTCAAAGTAAACATGAATGTAGCCTTTCAACTTTAGTCTGTTTTTGGCACACCATACACTGGTACACTATATTGCCAAAAGTATTGGGGCACCTGACTTTACACGCACATGAACTTTAATGGCATCCCAGTCTTAGTCCGTAAGGTTCAATATTGAGTTGGCCCACCCTTTGCCGCTATAACAGCTGCAACTCTTCTGGGAAGACTGTCCACAAGGGTTAGGAGTGTCTATGGGAATGTTTGACCATTCTTCCAGAAGCGCATTTGTGAGGTCAGGTACTGATGTTGGACGAGAAGGCCTGGCTCGCAGTATCCGCTCTAATTCATACCAAAGGTGCTCTATCGGGTTGAGGTCAGGACTCTGTGCAGGTCAGTCAAGTTCCTTCACCCCAAACTCGCTCATCCATGTCTTTATGGACCTTGCTTTGCGCACTGGTGCGCAGTAATGTTGGAACAAGAAGGGGCCATCGCCAAACTGTTATCACAAAGTTGGGAGCATGAAATTGTCCAAAATGTCTTGGTATGCTGATGCCGTAAGAGTTCCCTTCACTAGAACTAAGGGGCCAAGCCCAACTCCTGAAAAACAACACCACGCCATAATCCCCCTCCACCAAACTTTACACTTGGCATAATGCAGCCAGGCAAGTACTGTTCTCCTGGCAACCACCAAATCCAGACACGTCCATTGGATTGCCAGACAGAGAAGCCTGATTTTGTCACTCCAGAGAACACATCACTTCTCTAGAGTCCAGTGGTGGCGTACTTTACACCACTGCGTCTGACACTTTGCATTGCACTACGTGATGTAAGGCTTGAATGCCGCTGCTCAGCCATGAAAACCCATTCCATGAAGCTCGCTATGCACTGTTGTGCTAATCTGAAGGCCACATGAAGTTAGGAGGTCCGTAGCTATTGACTCTGCAGACAGTTCTTGACTTCTGTGCACTTCAAGATGCGGTGATCCCGCTCTGTCATTTTACGTGGCCTACCACTTCGTGGCTGAGTTGCTGTTGTTCCCAGTTGCTTCCACTTTGTTATAATACCACTAACAGTTGACAGTGGAATATTGAGTAGCAAGGAAATTTCACGGATGGACTTATTGCACAGGTGGCAACCTATCACGGTACCACGCTTGAATTCACTGAGCTCCTAAGGGTACGTTCACACCAGATGCAGTGCGTTCTGGTCAGATTCTGGCCAAAACACACTGCATCGTATTGCGGCCGGCTCACTTTTTTTTGGGCAGGAGGGGGCTTGGCGGGCAATTGAAGAGAATGGCACCATAGCCACACCCTCTGGCCGCAATGCGATTGCACATTGTGCCTGCAGTCTGATCAAAATGCTGCAAGCACTATTTTGATCGGACCGGACAGCAGGCACAATATGCCTTGCCATCCCGTGCGGGCGATTGCATTGCGGCCCGAGAGCGTGGCTACGGTGCCATTCACTTCAATGGCCGGTCACGCCCCCTCCTGCCCCACAAAAAAGTGAGCCGGCAGCAATGCGAATCGGACTGGAACGCACTGCATCTGGTGTGAACGTACCCTAAAGGTGCCCATAGACTGCTCGATTCTCGTACGAGGATCGGGCGAAATTCCGCGATCGTACGAGAATCGAGCAGTGTGAACTAAGACGTGCGACCGTTTCTACTGTACGTTCGCACGTCTTTTGTCGAGCCAACATGTTTCTAGCCTGCTCGCCCGATAGCTGCGGAACGGGCCGGTGTGCTGCCCGTTCTGCATTGCCGTCATCGGAAGCCCGCCCCTCAGCGGGGCCGGCTTTCGATGATCGCAAATACGATCTGCCCGTCCAAGGTGGGCAGATCGTACGGGCTTTCAAGAAGCATACGACCATCGCAAGACAAAAGTCTTGCGATGGTCGTAAGGTGTATGGGCACCTTTAGAGCGACCCATTCTTTCATAAATGTTTGTAGAAGCAGTCTGCATGCCTAGGTGCTTGGATTTTATACACCTGTGGCCATGGGGGTGATTGGAACACCTGAATCAGATTTGGAGGGGCATCCCAATACTTTTGGCAATATAGTGTAGATATTCTCAAAATGACCATTTCCTTCCCCCCGGAGGTATAAGTAGTTTGAGAGGAATTCAAAATGCACATCTGGCACCCCTTTTATCCTCCATGTGAATGTAGGGTTAGGGCCCTTTCCACTTATGCATTTGCAGTAGGGTGCTGTGTATTTTATACGGTACATTGTATACACTTTTTTTTGAGCATTGTGAAGTGAAAGATAAATATTCCGGATATAGGTTTTCAATGGTTCAGATGTGTAAAAAATGCACAAAGCTGCATGTTACATGCATTTTTGTGCGTTTGCCATCCATATCAATGGTCCTGCTTAGTACAGAAGCACACAAAAATTTACAGGGTTATTCATAAAAGTGGGAAGAGTTTGGAGAAGGCAGGAGAAGTGCACAATCTAGGCCAAAATAGCTGATTTGTAAAATGTATTCAAGTCAGCTCACTTTCCAGTTCAGCTATGTTATCCTAGATTGTTCACTTCTCCTGCCTTCTCCAAACTCTTCTTCACCCTTTTGTGAATAACCCTGCTAGTGTTTCCCATTTTCCAAAAAAATGCACCATGCTGCAGTGCATAGAAGTGAACCAGCCGCATAGGAATAAATAGTATTTTTACTTAACATGCATTTCATGCTATATCTTGCATGCATTTTATTGCAGGGAACTGGAGTGGTAAATTAATCTAAATCTGCCCACCCACCAGTTATATTTTCATTAGATCTGATCTCCTTGGGAACATCTTATTGCCTTTTCCTTTAAAATTGCAATGTATTAAATAAGTCTATTAGTGCTCATGTGCTGAAATATTGATTAATAAATTATTAACTAATAGGCAAGGCTTCTGGGGAAAGGTCCTATTTGAATAAATGATCCTCAAACACCAGCAATAGAGGTTTTGTGTGTTTAGCATCTAGAAAAAGTAACTTATTTTAATTATGCAGTACCATGCCTATTGACCATTTATTTGCCAGAGAAATGCCTCTTTTCTGTGTAGCTACAGTGGAGTTAACATTCTCAGAAGCTGGCTGTTATCGTTCATCAGAGAGAACAGAAAATGTAAATTGTATGTCCGCAAGCTAGAGGAGCTGTCATGTAAGATTTGGTATCGTCTGATTGTAACTTTCCCGCTGCGACAGAATTGGGCTGCCGACTCTCTGAGCACAATTCTACTTGGCGTGCCGTCATTTTCAGGGATGGAGATGTCAGATGGAGAAATGAAACTGCCAGGATGACGACTGGAGCATTCTACTTCGTTAACCTAGATGTATCCTCATTATCTTGGATCTACGTTTAATCTCAAATCATGCTTCATGTTGCAAGTCACTTAAAATAACGCTACTTAAAATGTATCTCTGTGCAGTATTACGCAGCGGGATTTAGCAGGATAAATCCATCTTTTGTTGGGAATAAACTGGGAGATGGGAGAGAGATATTTAAACCTTATGTGTGCAAGTTAAATTATCAGTGGTAGCAATGAGACATTTTATGGTTGATAATTTTATTAATTAATACAGTTTATATCTTTTATTATCAATAATATAAATATATTAATAAATGATCAAAAAGTACATTTGTTCTAGGCCAGGGTAGGAAAACTCCGGACCTCCAGCTGTGGTGCAACTACAAATCCCATTAGGCATAGCATGTCTCTGACAGCCACAGGCATGACTCCCGGAGGCAGATGTATGATGGAATTTGTAATTTCACCACAGCTGGAAGTCCAAAGTTTGCCTATCCCTGTTCTAGGCCAACCTTGAGACCTTCAGTGCTGATGGCCTAATCCTATCCCATGTAAAACATTCTAGTGAGGATAAGCCAGTTAATAGAAACTCACTGGGGCATCTAAAACAATAATTTTTGACAACAAATCTTCCACCTTGCTGGGAAATCTGTAAGCAATCCATACAATGCTAAAATAGTAAACTGTGTGTGCAGTGGTGTCACAAGGGGAGTGAGGCCCACACCAGGTGACACCATCAGAGAAGGTGATACCAAAATGATTCAAAGTCCTTAAACTGAACACATTATGCAGAACCTTCGTGTACCGAGCAATGCTTTTTGCATTACGTGTCATTAAAGTGACACTAAACTCAGGAGTTAAATCTCAAAAATGCATTCAAATACCTTAACTAATAACAAACATTTTTTTTTTTTGTGCATCACTCAGCTGTAGATCCTCAAATCATCTATGAATTCATGGTGACACATTATGCGTGTGTGTGTGTCTCAAAAGCTTTGTTGTCTTTTTTTCATGCAACTGTGAGTGATGAGCAAGGAGTAAAAGATATTTTCCAATGTGATGAAATATTTCCATATTGTGCACTAAGGCTGGGTTCACACCTAGGCGTATCGTATATGCGCGTTTGTCGCGCGTTTCTACCACGATTCGCGGTAAAAAATGCACGACAAACGCGCGTTTCCGAGGGCTACCTGGCTGTATCCCGATGGATACGCGCGGCAAATACGCCCCAGAGAAGCTCCTGTACTTCTTTGGGCGTAGGGCGTTTTGCAGCTCGTTCCTACGCGCTGTAAAACGCCCAAGTGGGAACCATGCCCATAGGCAATTATTGGTTTTCACATGTTGAGCGTTTTACAGAGCGCAGGAACGCGCTGTAAAACGCCCTGGTGTGAACCAGGCCTAATGATTCCTTCCTAACCTCAGAATCGCTTGCTATTGCATTTGCTTGTCCCACTATTGCATATTATGTTCAAACCAGACGCATTGCTAACTTTTAAGGGGCCATGTATGGTGCGCTAAAATGTGATCAATTTATATAAATCTGCAGAACTTATATAGATGTAATAATGCTGAAGAACTCCATTGGAAGTAATCTATAAGCCATTTCCAGGGTCTAGCTTGTAGAGTTTGGAAATGTATATAATTTAAATTGACAGTAAGTTAAATAATGACACCCAGCTGTTCTTTCTCTTCTATAGATGACCGCGTTGACCAAAGAGCATGCCTTATCTGTGGGGATCGTGCTACAGGACTGCATTATGGCATCATCTCATGTGAGGGCTGCAAAGGATTCTTTAAGCGCAGCATTTGCAATAAGAGAGTATACCGATGCAGCCGCGATAAGAATTGTGTCATGTCGCGAAAGCAGAGGAACCGTTGTCAATACTGCCGCCTCCTTAAGTGCCTCCAGATGGGAATGAACAGAAAAGGTAATCTCCTAAAAAAACAATTAACATGTATAGGTTTTTAGAATAATGTTTTGTAAGAAGTGAACCACCACAGTCATAATTCAACGATCGGCATAATAGAATTGGCATACTAATGAAAGCTGAATTCTAACTGGTGACTGAGTTAAATGGTATGTCAGGGCATACTAAATTAAAACATATGCAGTACACATCTGCAATACATGCACCTTTTCCCATGTTTTATCCTATTAAAGACTCTGCATCTACAGAAGAATACCTGTTGATCTGCCAGAAATGCATGCTGTTTCTAATTTCCTGTTTTATCGTGAACACGCATACCTTTTTCTGAAGTGAAATCGCAAGAAGTTGTGTCAGCCCTGCTCAGTAGTCTATTGTTAAACTACTGAATCTCTCCCCCTATTCTCATCCTCACAACATAGGGGGGATTTGTTCTGTAGTCCATGATAAGACACAGGACACAATACATTTTTGGAAGGGCTGTGTGACATAAGGAAATTGGTTTGTGGATGACCATTCATGCTATTAGAGCATATTAGTTCATGGGTTAGCCTAAATAAAACCTTGGTTGGTTACTAGACATGTGCACTGCCAAAAAATTCGTTTAGTTTCGTTTTAAATTCGGATTTGTGTTATTTCGTTTTTCAGGATTCGGGTGTGAATGTCAATTCGGATTCGGAATTCGGATTCGGACGAAATTCGGTAGCGTTAGTACGAACGTTTGTTTCGTTTTCTGTTCTTATTCGTTTCTTATTCGTTTCGTTCGTTCGTTTGCAGCAAAAGTGACATTTGAGGGGGGAAAAATATTTTTCTCCTTCTCTAATGTCACTTTGCTCCAACGAACGAAACGAATAAGAACAGAAAACGAAACGAACGTTCGTACTAACGCTACCGAATTTCAGAAATGGAAATTCGGATTCGTTTGCATTCGTTATGTCTGTAATTCGGAATTCGGATACATCCGAATGTCCGAATTTCCGAAAATTCGTCCGAATTTCGATTCGGAACGAAACGAATCGCACATGTCTATTGGTTACCTCCTCTGAAGATGGTAATACCCACATGTAAGCTTATTAAATTACATTTGGTCTAGAGGCCAAAACAATTTTCTCACTAGCAATAGAGGCACAAGTTTTCTTCATGTTGATTTGCTTCTCTTGAAACATGATATAACCAGGTCAGGTCACTTTGATTGTATGAAATGACTGTGGCATCAGGCACTTTAACTATACTTGCAGTTATATTCAGCCACATGTTAAAAAGTGCCAGAAGGTCTTCTACCTTTAAAAATGGCAAGATGCTGTAGGTCAAAAAAAAGTCTTATTTGTGAAGCCACAAAAGTACAGCATAGTACTGCAAATTATTTTCAATAGCTCTTGTAACTTTTTTTTGGCCCCATTGACATCAGAGCGATTGCATTGGGTTGCGAACCCTTTTTCCACAAAAAGTTTTATTAGTTTCAAATAGACAATACAATAAAACATAAACTATACTTGAATAACTACAAAGGTATAGACAAAGAAAGCAGAAAATAATGCAGGAATGCAAACCCTTTTTCAACGGATGCTAACACAAAGGCACAAAAAAAATGATGGGTGTGAATGGGATGGGTTCACACCACTGTGATCCGTTCCATTCTGTGGCAGTGCGATGAAAAAAAGTAGAGCAAGCTTTACTCTTTTTCAGCGCAATGGAGCATAACATAACAAACATGGATGTAACTGCAATGGAACTCAAGTAGAAAAAAAAAAAAAAAGATGTCTGACCTCCCAGGACATGTTAACTAAAATAAAAATTGGCAAAATGAGAAAAAAAAAATGGAATGGAAGACAGCACAATTTTTTGAAAGTGCAAGTCAATGGACTCTCCGTTGACTTGCATTTCCCTTCTGATTAGGACGGGCCCTTAAACAGGCGTGTAAATTCCTGACCAGGTATCAGGTCACATGACTGCACAGTTTCTCTTTCTCTCCCTTTTCCTGGTTCAGGGTGTGTATCTCTTGCCACAGGGCAGCTGCTTAATTTCATCAGACATAACCACCAAGAGCTGCTGTCAGTTATTAAAGCAGGGCTGTGCAGGGGGCTGGCACCTTAACTAGCTATAGGGAGATACAGGCTACAGCTACAAAGAGATACAGGCTGTATCTCCCAGCAGCAGTTCTGATGAATGGGGACACAGTAGAACTGGCTAGGCAGGGAGGGTGTGGCACCTAAACTAATAAAGGGGTGCTTCTGGAGTTGGTTGTGCACCCTCCTCCCCCCCACTCCAGAAGGGGGATTGGCATGATCACCGGGTATTTCTCCACACACTACTGAATTAAGAGAATAGGCTATGATTTCATACATAGACAAGCGGACACATACATGTAATAATACAGTTTCAGGTAACATACACTAAGTGCCATTTCTTTCCTAATAAGACTTTCACAACTTTGCCAGAGTCCACGCAACCGCTCTATACATGGAGTAAGTCTATGAGTCACCTTTTTTTTTTTAGCATACAGGAGAGACAGAAGATAGTTTATATATGAAGCAGGTAATATCTGTTTTTGTTTCATTCCACATCTAGATCCTAGTTATTTAATAGATTGTATTGTGGGATATCATTGTCCAGGCCTCCAAGGAACTAGCAACTGATAAAAAAAAAAGTGTAAGCAATAAAAGTACACTGACCGCTTTATTTATACCTAAATTCAAATCTAGGTATGCTGCTCCATGGGCGTGCCCATAGTAAATCTCCCCACCCCTAAACTTGTCATAACAATTGTCACCTACAGGGTCCCACCAGCTGCCCTTCAGTTTTCACTGAAGCTCCAAAATCTGATTAGAATGTGTAATTGTTATGCAGTCCATTGTCGCAATAAAGTTTTCTCTTGACTGATGATGTGTGAGAATAAAGAAGGTTGTTTAGGGCATGTTGCCCTACTTGTTCATACCTTCCATAACGCATTTGACTTGCTTTCACTGGGCTTGTGCTGCATTTCCTTTTGTCCGTTTTTTAAAATGCTGCATGTCCTTCTTTTCGTGCAAATCCGTCCTTATAGACTTTAATGGAATCGTATCAAAAATGCCAATTTGTTTGCCAAAACAACAGGGCTCCTTCCCCAAATTTTTTACTCCTCACAGGCTACAGAGAAGATGGAAATACAAGGTGGCAGAATGCTAGATGTTGAAGCCTTCATCTGCCTGGTCAGAGCCTCTCTCTCCTCTATTTTATGATCACCAGATAGACCCAGTATCTTTCCTTTCTCTTCTCAGCCTCTTCTTCCATCAAAAATGCTGCTGCCCTAAACCTTGGCATAGCAGCCATGACACAAGATTGTAGCACAACTATACAGGCAAACAGCAGACAGAGGAAGGTGGTAGCTTGAAGGAAGACCATGCCTAGTGCATGTCATTGACCAAAACAAAAATTGCATGAAGAAAACTGAAAGATGCCCCTCAAAAAGCATGAAAACCGTAATCGCAAAAGTGTGAACCTAGCCTTATTAAATGAATGTTCTTAGCGGCCTATAACGGTGATTTACACACAAATGGATGGTACTCACTTGTGGGCCTCTCATTACAAGATAAAATGGTGAAAAACTATATGTAACCCTTCTTATAGTGTAGATTTTTGTATCTCAAATGGAGAGAGATCGATTTTTAAAGCTATTTAAGTTAAAGTGCCTTATGCACAAACACATTTGGTAATGGAGACAACACTGTGATTTCTGTAGCAAGCTGTCGCAAACACGTCCAGGTTCTAGACTGCCTCTGGATCATCTGAAGTTCAAGGTTGCCCATTTTCAACGCCATGCATTTTAAATCAGAGGCGATTGTATATGTTCATAGTATCAGAACTCCACCTAGTGGTGAATTGCAGTGTAACTCTAAAAAATTCACATTGCCACCAAATATTATATGCTAGTCATATAATGCTCTAAATTGTGATCATTATGAGCAAGAATCCTAATGTGTTTCTCTCAGGATGCAGTCAAGTTTCAAGAATTGTATTTTATACAGTACAATCACAGTTTGTCTTTTCTTTATGCATTGTGATCTTAAATCCAGAATGCCATGTGTGAACATGTTACAATTTACATTTGTGCCCAGAGCCCTGTGTAAAATGCAGTAAGATTTCAGATTATTGTTGTTAGGTCAGTATATAGGTTTTTTTGGATTTATGTTGGTTCCTCACTGCCCTTCATCATCACTCATCATATGAAACCTTGTCAAGTCAGTCTCTAGAATATTAGGTAAACAGGTCTTAAAAGAAACCTGACATGAGGGAAGCAAGGAAGCTGCCATTTCCTTCTGAAAATGCTCCTTGTCTGGCTTTTATGGTGAGTCACAATAATAATTCATATATGTGGTTACTAAGACTACTACTACTGCTGCTACTACTACTATAACTCCTATCTAAACCAAACAGAAAATGGCCTCTGACATTTCTCTGACTTTTCTGAATACTTGTCCCAGATCAGTGACTCAGCCAGAGGGTCAGCATAACAGACTGGCAGCTAGCATTTTTAGAGGAGGTCAACAAGGGTAGTTCCATTATTTTGTAAGTGACAGATTTCCTTTAAAGGGAAGTCATAAGGTATTTTCAGTAACCACATATATTGTTATTGTCATGTGTACCGTAAAAGAAACCTGCACTGCGGAAACATGGAGGTTGCCTTACTACTTTTAGAAATACTAGTTGTCTGGCTGTCTCTGGCTTTTCTAAGTTACTGACTTGAAACAACTGTGCAGGTCAAGTCAGAGCTGATATTCAGCATGCTTATTATAGTCAAGCATCCAAAAGATTTCCTTTTAAAGCATGTTGTATATGATTTGCCTGGCTGTTTCTTATTATTGTTTATTATTAATCAGCATGAATAGCAAGAACACTCCCAGGCACAAAATACAATGGTGGAACTTCACAGCAGTAATAGTGCAAATCAGAATATAGATCAATATTAATATAGATTGAGCTACAATCTTATAGGCAACATGTTGCTATGGATTAGAAGACTGTCA